GCACACGTGGAATCGATCCTTCAGCCCATGGTCCACCAAGCCTTCCATCCCTCCGAGGTCGGTAAATTGGTACCGGACCTGTCTGGAAGGATATCAGCACTGCCTCGATGAAACGGTAGGCCACCGCAAATCATTGTAAAGGCCAGATATATATTCAATCACCTTCAAACGATGCTTAATGAAGTCGAATGCGTGGCTCATCCTCAGGGATTGATCTAAGCTGAGAGCTTCATCATTTTATCTTTTATATATCACGAGTCGGTGGTGGGTAACTCTTGTCTGTAACGTAGAGAATATATACTATTGCTTCATACATTTATAGCTTCTCTTGCTTAATTGGATAATGCTTTATCCGGTTGTGTGCTGTGTGGCAGTTAAAGGTGCCCTGTAGATAGTAATGGGCTCGATTCCATGTTCTGAACTAATCAGTTCTTAAGGGATCGGCAAAATTTGTACCAGGCTAATCCAGGGTACAAAAAATACTGTCATGACACATCGATATACCACTGCAAGTCATTTTAAAGGCAAAATATGCATTTATTTACTTCTATGACACTTAATGAGGTCTGGGACATGATGTATCCCTAAGGAATTGATCGACGCTGAACGTGTTCTTTCCTTATCCTCTTAACATGCCTAGGCGTCTGATGGATAATACTGTCACCTTCACACTGAAGAACTAGTAAACAAGGTGCTTATCACTTATGAGCAATGCAATTAGCGAAGATCTCGCAAAAAATGATAAGAAATGCTATTCACTCAACTACATTTGCCATGCTAAATGGAATTAAATTCACGGCGTATCGTTTAGGAAACTGATCGACTTTGTAGCTTTCATGCTTACATGTGATATAAAACATTTGGGCCGGTCTAAGTTTAGAATTATAAAATGCGATGATTGGGGTGGATTTCGACAGATGAGGGATAGAAACCACTTCCGGCTGCTTCCATACGTGGATTTTGTCATCCGTTCGTTGCGCCATGCAGAAGTATATCTATTCCCTCCGGATAGTATGTGATAGCTTTTACCTACCTTGTTGTGGACCGAATAATTCCTCTCTCTCGCTGGTCCACTATGAAGTATTTATCTAGTGTAAATATTAAGAGAACACATATTCCTCCTTTTTTTTGCAACTTGTTTGCATTTACGTCGACCCCGTCTCATATTTCCACATCCTTTGTATGAAGTTTAAATTACCATATTTCGAGGATAACGTGACAAATTTCGGAGTGACGCTGTATCTAAATCAGATGTTGAATTGCTCCATTAGTTCTACTTCACAATAAGGCTTCTTGTTGTAGTTTTTAAGTATGGACCATTTGCCATATTATTTGAGTTTGTGGCTGATGCACAGCATAATATGGTCACTGTTTGTGGGCACTCGAGTAGTTACACTATACAGATTTCTAGGCAGAAGCCCTAATAAGGTGTTTTTCTGCGAAGTGTGCTCTTTGGTGTTGAATTGTGATGTGTGTCGACAGAGTTATGTCAGACAACAATCGGTAAGAGACAGAAGAGTTTATGGCTATGCTAGAAAATGACGCGTACAATAAAGGGCCATGGATTCGTGCTCTGCATGTACAACATCAGAGATCTTCATATATGAAGAACGTCACGACCTCGTTGATGCTGCAGTTTGCATAAAGTTCGTCATCGGCCGAACAGCAGCACTGGCTATTATTACACTAATTAACTTGAGACAATTCTCTATCTTCTTGGTAAGCAGATACGGGGTTATTGCAATACTCTTTATCCACAAAAGCTGAAGTTTCGACAGATTTCTCCTTCTTCAGACCCTTGAAAGATGAAGTTGACACCAAATTAGTCAGTAAATTACCCCTGTAATCTCGACGAAAAACGACGAAATCTAGTTTCAATCGCATTAGAAACAAAACAGTTTCTTTACATATTCATCGGTTTCTATGAGCCTTCCACTGAGCATTTCATGTGGAGACCAATCGCACGGAGTTCACATGGATGTGTAATGTACCTCTCTCACATTCAAGTATTATTCAGACTAAGATGGTGTGTTCACAAATAAAAATTGTTCGCAATTAAAGAATAAAAATTCGTTATCGAAGATCTTAAGATTAGAAAAGATTAGTGGTAATCTAAGGGCGCTTGTGGCGCAGTGGTCGGAGGCGCACTGCGACACACACAAGGGATTGATGCCTGCCCCCGTGGCTCACCAAGCCTTCCATCCCTCCGGGCTCGAAAAGGTAATCAAAACGTGAATGGAAGCTACGTTGCTTAGCCCTTGTCTCAATTACGTCCGGTTTCCATGTTCGATAATGGACAATTCAAGATCCACGTCCCTGTGTCGACAAAAAATTTTTTCGCATAGTTGTAGTGTTTAATTAATGGTCACGAAAAGTAACGTGATAGGGGCTGATGATAATCGCCTCTGACCGTCTCACGAGAACGAACTCTCTCGTTCATTTATTCTTTTCGGTATACTATAGCCTTTGTGATAATCTGTTGTATTTCGTCTGGCTTCATTATGCAGATGCAAATGCATCCATTCACAAGTTGGTAGATCGTTTTCTTTTCTTGAAACCTCATAAACACATTGAAAATCGATTTATATTACGCCAGTCGAGACTTCTAACAAATCTGTAGCGTTCACGATTTAGTTGAGTCTGTAAAAAACGAAGCTAAAGTGAATCTTTCGTGCGATGGGAATAGCAAAAAGCACACTGATGAGAAAGACGTTGGACTGAATCCCAACAGGACTGAATACAACGAAAAACCGACCAAACTGGGCGCTCTCTATCGAGTTCATGTAACAAAGCTCTATTCGCGGCACATACTGAGTAAGGAGGAGAAGCTCAATGAAAGCTAGAGTGGAGGAAACAGAAAGAATAAAGTTTGCTGTCCGAGCTTGTAAGTCTCCTGAAATAAGTCCTTCAATGCATCCCTTTAATCGTCTACGGTAACTTCTAAAATTCTTTTGCCAAATGAAGCAAAAATCAGTGTTGTTACAACCACCACATAAATAACTGTTCACAAGCACCTGTGCAGCTCTAACGTTGTCAGAAATGAAAAGAATGCACTAAAATTGACTGGGTCTGTGAATGCGACTTACAAAGGGCCTTTTGCAGAACTTGTTACATCGTATCTCTTGCTTCAAATAACGTGCTCGCTCTTCTTGGGATTGGCTACTATTTCACTTTAGAATAACAACCGCTAACATAAAATGTGCCATTAAGTCCCGAGCCTCCATCACTTGAAAAACCCAGCTCGGCTCGTCGTTAGGCTCCGTGACAAACCTCTTGTGTAAATGTGAAATATAGTCTTAGGTGATCACGCAGTAATCCTAAGGTGGAAGCAGATTCAGAATGGGCTATATCAGACTGATATTTATCTTTAGTGTGTATGTGCACAGATACTATGCATATTCACAGATATGCTTACGATGTTTGAAGACCGCATTTTCCACGCTGACTGACTCGGCCAGAAGCCTTCAATCATATTACTGAAAAGTACATAGGAAGTGCTTTGACGTCATCTCCTATAAGCAGGCCGCACATTTGTTCCAGAAAAGCCGAACAAGATATATTCAGCCTCATGAGGTATCTATGGATTCTCTGGGGAAAAAAAACAAATAATGAGCCTCAGACGAGATGTGTCGTCCTTCGTGCCGGTTGAGTGAGTGGAGTCCACCGTGCAGCTCTAGTGAGTGAGTGATGTGTGTTGAAGTCAGTTCCTAACTAATGGAAGTGTAGAATGTAAACATGAACGATCTTCACAACAACAACTGACAATCAACTTTATTAGTTTTACTCTTTACATACTTCACAAGGAAAAGACAGAAAAAAACAACAGTAGATGAAAAATCAACGGGAAACGAACGACGAATATAACATGCACACACTCATATTCATTTCCGACAAGTGCGCTTCATAAGTACAATTCTAAGCACTGTTACACCGATACATTACTTCACAGCAACACCTCACATAAAATCTTTATTACTAGGCACACGGCTACATCAAATAGCCATGCAGTCGCGCCATGAACATGACCAACGACTTCTTTGTCGACGAAGCAATGGTGAAATTTCATTTGAAAACGCAATAAATACGCCGTTACTAGGACAAGATATTTCGTGGGCTTGTCGAAATATTCTTAAAATATCCCAATAATGACCTATGAGTGCTTAACGAACCAACGGAAAAACTTCAGTTTGGATTTGGCACGTGCGCAATCGGTGTAGTAAGAACTGCGTACGCTTTGCGTGCGGCGCGGTTGTGTGCCGTCGTTGTTGTATATATGAACGACTTTCACAACAATTGAATAAAACTGTCAATCGCCATGAAAGATTTTTTGAAGACAAAAAAATAACACATACACCCACAAACACACAAGAGAATCAGAAACGTGAAGACAACGCTGTAGGGTATTGTGTTTAAGCAAAATTAACGGACATTGTGCAATAGAGGATGAATGTAAGGAAGAAGTGTTACAATCAAAAAACAATGAGTTCATCGTTATGTGATTTAAAACCTGAATTCACATCAACATTAATGAAAGATTTGTATGGAATTCACAAAAAAATTTTAGAGAAACCAGAAGAAAAAAAAAGGAAAAAGAAAGCTTTTTACGGTGGTAGTGCTGATAACCACAAATCTGAAGAAAAGACAAGAATTTCGGCGGGAAATCGGATACTGGTAAGTTGATAACACTTGAAATCGATGCTCTACAGATAGACGTTCCGAAATTCTGTCTTTTGTGGAGAATTCTAGGACAGTCGTAGCGTACTAATCGCTGAAAGGAATCTATCATCTCTAGAATGTACCCGTAAGTGAAAAAAGAAACACATACGAACACAACACAGATATTTACAGTACGAAAATTGACGAACAGGCTCAACTTTGAGTCGAACTCCAAATTTTGCGCTGGTCCGTCGAGAACCGGGACAAATTGTATTGACTAGGGTCGGGGTACTATAGGTGTTGAAAACACACTACGTCCCAGTAACTCCCATTACAACGCTAGCTTAAAGGCTGTGTGAAAAAATTGGCTGCCTCGTTTGCGCAAGCAACGATTGAATGAGGTCGTCGGGAGAACTTGTTGGCAATAAGTTATTTTTATTCTGTAGTGCTAAGGCGGCAGCTAGCTGGGCGGATTGTTGAGCTCTGAGCAACGCTAAAACGTCATTAGCACATGACGTCGATGGAGGAGTTATAACAGGAGTAGTAGCTAGGCTGAGCAGACCTGCTAACGCACTCTGCTGTAGTAGGCCGGCGTTTTGTAGAAGTACATTGGAAGGTAGTAGGGTGGCAAGTAACTGATCCGTGAAAGGAGAATGAGTAGTGGTGGTGGGCACAGCCGGCGGTACAGCGGCCACACTCGCTAGTGACGGATGGAAGAAGCTGGGCGCGGTAGCGGTGACGGCAATTGGACTGGGACGGGGAAGAGACGGTGGGAGAGACACTGGCACTGAGGTAGCCGGCAGTGACATCGTGGCCGGCAGCCCGAGTGGCGCCGTCGAGGTCGCGACCGTCTTCTCCTGTGCCGCCGCCGTCGCCGGAACTGCTGGAATATTCGTCGGCTCAGTTGGAACGATAGCTGGAGCATCCTGAAATTAACTGTTAATACATCTCCAGAGAACAAGACTGCGAAGAACAGAGCAATAAACCTTTAATTATTTAAAATAATGAAGTGTACAGCAAAAACAAGTCGCTTTGATCGCTGGTAATATGAGAAACGCGAAGTGCAAATGAAATAAATGACCTTGACAGAGCTTCTTTCTTGGAAAACATCATTGAGCAAATTTGATAATTATTCTAAAGGAATCAAACATAAATGAGCGGCAAATTCTTAGCCAGTGATTTACTGTGATGTTTCGAGTTGAGTCATTTTCACAGATAAGAAGAAGAAGATTCACCTCCCCGACAAACACTTTCATAGCGGGAATCGTGGGCAACAAAATATAGCGTCCTTTTTTGTCCTTTAAATTAGGCGGTGAAACCTTTGGGATTTCCTTTGGTTCGTCCTAAAAATTTAGGTTTCGAAACGAACACGAATGAATACGGTAGTGTTGAATATTGAACCAATGAACCTACTAAAGCTATTATTATTATTATTGTCCTACTGAATTTAATTCACAGCTATGGAGCTCCAGTTATTGTGTTGAGAAAATGACACTATTACAGTTGATTGCCACGCTTATAAAAGTGAACTCTGGTCCCTAAGGTTTACTCTCCAGTTAGCTTTCATCAAGACAACATTTGGGTTTCAGAGTGAAGAACTTTACTCGAACGACGTCAAAAAGACCTGCTGGAAAATGTCTACCTAGTTTTTTGAGCAGTACACGTCTTTGTCTTTCTATAAACATTAAAGGAGAAATATTGATTTCTCTCCTCCGCCTTTTTTTTCCTTATAATACTGAGCGCCGCTGCATTTTACACATTGTGAACGCCTGAGGAATAAAAAGCGCTGAAGAATGAAATCATGAACGATTCGTTGACGTACGAAACAGCACATATTTCTAGAAATCTATGAAATAATCACTTGAGCAACTTCATCTGACGTCGGAATACCACAACTGTTCTTCTCAGATGCCAATAGAAACCACGTATTTAAGTCACGAAATCATTTCACAATCGTCCCTCTCACATCAAACCCTTCAGTGTACATCCTCATCGACCCTACCTTTAAGTATTCATTTCCGGTTCAGATATGTGGTAGAACTAGTTCTAAACCAGGATTTCGATATATTTCCACAAAATATTTTGCATTTGTCGACAACTGCTATCGACGCTAGCGCTGCACTCCGTTCACAACTTTCAATCCCTCTCTCCCTCCTACTTGCCCTCTTCCGTCGTTGCAGCAGCAAGGTCCATGTGGAGTCTGTCCAAAGTGCACCGCGACCACTATACAAAAACGATCGCGCGCGACGTCGTCGAACGTCGCGAAGATCAGCGAGTCCACGAAAACATGTTGACGATGGACGGCGAACGACGGACGGACGGACGGACGGGCGGACGGACGGGCGGACGGACGGACGGGCGGACGGACATGGAGTCGGGGAGGAGGCAGTCGGCGTCGGCCGCGAAAAGTGCGCCGCACGCAAATCGTCGTGCAAAAAGTGCACGAACACATACACACACACATGCCAAATTCATATACATAAGGAAGGAAGGAGAAACGTTACACAGCCCTCTGAAGCAAGCCGGTTACTGCCGCTGCTGCTGATGGTGGTACTGCAAAAAAATGTTCTTCGCACTATGGTGTTATTAGTGATGAACGTAGAAATATTTCGCTTCCGACTGAATATCTGGTCTTTCTTTGTAGACATAGACGTTTTGTATAGAAGAAAAAATATAGAAGCGGTGCGAACAGTTTTAGAAAGAGGATCAGAAGACGGGAGAACTGACACAACTATGTCATGATCTGTTCACCATAGTGGTTTCTTTGCACACCGAAGTCATAAAGTTTCTCAGGAATAATCAACTTACCGTAGCGACAAATGTATGAGCACGTTTTCGAGCCGGTGGTGAAGCGGTAATCATCGGATCGTCGTCAACTTTTCCATCCACAGTAACTTTTCCTTCGGCTTCTAGCCGCTTCTTCTCAGCAGCACATTTCGCTTTCCAGATATCATAAGACATCACCGTCATCGCACCTAGCGACATACTTCGACCTTCAAGGCCAGTACGTGATGATGGGCTCTGAAATATTCGTTTATTCAGTAACAGTTATCGCAATCTGCGCACGAAGAAAACAATACTATGGGGAGAGTAGAACTATTCGATAGACTACAATATGTACTTTCTAAACCTTGATAGTTGAAGTTTTTCCTCTCAGTTGACTTTTCAAGTTCACATCAAACACGGTAGAAATTCTTACAGTTCATTCAGTTAAGTGCTCAAGAAATAACACATGGCCTGCTAGTGCATAACGTGCGGAAAAATTTTAGTTGTTTGACACAGTGCGTCCATCAGTTAATGTTAATCTCACTGCATAGGGTTTACATACGAGCTATTAAGATACCTTATGTATTCAATATAGGGGCGGATACCACAGTGGTAGTGATGTTCGTCATCACGAGCATTGCGCTAGTTCGATTCCGCTCCGGGCCAACCAAGCCTCTCATCCCTCCAGGGTCAGGAAATTGGTAACGGACCTGTCTGAGAAAAAAATCACTCTCTGAAATCCAACTCGGAACGCTCCAACCCCGCTATCTCGGGACTCCAAGAAAAACTACTCGACCAGCATTCTACGATATTCAAGATGAAATGAAAATCCTCAAGCAGCAACTGAAGACACACGTAAAACTTGGAAGATTTTCATGGACAATGGATGCGAGGAAGCTAATCAAATGCGAGAAGTGCTGGGATCCGCACAGCAGACGTGGAGACGGGTCACATAAAAAGATATATATATAATATTGTTCCCATTCTGAAGAAAACGAAAAGTTTTCAACAAACAGTGGAAATATCAATCGAAAAGCCACTCGATCAAGTTTTTCTGCTGCTAGAATCACCGTACAATGACGATCGATATGTGCACTAATGTTCACCAGGGTCAAAAATCTTTCTCGGCCATTTGATACGAAGATTCAATCCGTACTTTTGCCGATACGCGTCTCCGGCGCTGCTTTTTTCTTTCTTTGCCTCAAAAATCTGGCAAAGGTTACATACGCTTGTGGAGAGTAAGAAGCACGACGAGTACATCGATTGCCAACAGGAACATCGCGATCACTACACTTACACATTTATATACATACATGTGTACATATGTACATACATATACATGGTATGTATATTTCGCTAATGTGCACTAAGTAGCATCGGCACTGAGGAGCAATTCCGTGTTCCTCACATCTCTTCTTGTCGCGTCGCACGCGATGCCGCCTCGTGCTCTAACGCGGCGTCAATCTGTCGAAATGCACTATAAACATCATGTTTGTGAATGCATGAAGTAAGTGCTGAAGATGCCTGCTCGACTCCGATCGACATGTTCAACTTTACCGAAGCTTCCTTCCGTCAACACACCGAACTTGATCTAGTTGTATCAGCTGCAGAACGAATTGCGGTCACGCTGATCCCCATTGGTATACGATAGGCATACGGTAGCAGATTCTCGAGACCAAAATGCTGTCCGATTCCGCGCGAACACCGCCCGCCATTGCGAAAACGCCTGCGTGCACTAACTGCATATTTTTCTGATTTAAGAAAGTGCTTACGTATGTTGTGAAATAGAGAACAAAATTGTACATCGATGAATGTCATCTAGAAATCCGGGAAATCATACGCATGATAGCAACTGATGTAGATAAAAAGATTTCCAATCAAGAATTTCAGTATCTATGTTTTTGGACCACAGGGAGAGCGTTCACACAAGCATGTGCGACACTGCAATGCTTCAACTTCACCTAGACCATGCCCTACTTTCAAGGCTTATTGACAGGTTAGTACACTTGTCTATCATATCCTTACTTGTGTTAAATGCTTAGGATTACATAACTTCAACGACTTCCTCTCGAAAAGTTTAATCTTTTTAGTGCTTTGTTCATCCTCTTCATCTAGAATATCGCTAAAGCAGGTCTAATGTACTATACATTCGCGTATATAAAACGGCTATTAGATAAATGTCAGACAGCATTTTTAAAGATAGTACTCATCAATAATAGTAATTTCTTGCTGGATGTTCTAGAAATATACATACTAGTCCTTTTTTAGGAAAAAATAAAGCTAAAATAAGCTTCGAATCTAGTTGATACCGAAAGTTAAAACCTAATACGAGTTAAACCTCCATAAGACTGGGATTCTTCAACTCACATGTTTCGCTTTCTTATAAACGAACATTTTACAATCGATTCTAATCCGTAGATGCTTTTAAGAAACCTAAGAGCCAAGAAACATAAGAGCATTGAATATTGGATAATTAGAGGCAGTCAAAGAGGAAATGCTGAAATCCATTACTGGTTTTTAAATTTTATGTGAACATGAAAGAAAAAACAGCTTTAAGTTTTTATGATAATCGCCGGCGATACTGCTATGTGTCTAAGATCAAACCGTTATAGTCATATAAGGCCGTTTAGGAGTCATCTTCAAGGAAATCTTTACGACGATTTTAATCCTATTCAAATCTCTCTAGTCTTCGAGCACTTAATTGGCTGAACGCTGGCACCTTGACGACGACCATGCAAGTGTTCCCTTCGAGCGCGTTTTTCCTTCAACGGTTTTACTCCGATACGATCAAATTACGTAGAGATTTTTGGTGTTTATTAGCTTAGCTGGATGATATTCTAGAAACGAGAGAATTCTTTCGAAATTGAATAGCATTCAGCTATAACACTAACATCGACGATTCCATAATCCATGTAATTAGTCGTTCTCCTTATAAAAACTGCTTCTAAAATTTTCCCCTTCCGAGATCTAACCTAAGAAGCCTGTTCCCCTCAAACCATAACCAAGTTGTAGTTTTTAACTCTTTCAAATTCACTGCAACGGTTTCTTTCCACATTCTAAGAATTCTGGTTCACTCTATGCATCACTGATGAATACGTTTTGTTATAGAAATTTAAGTGTATAATCACTAGAACCACTTCAAAATAAAGGAAACGAGGTCAACCACTGTCTTTTGGAACAACGATTGGCAGTGACCTAAGACGAAAGACGAATGTACGAAAAGAATGTCTGTTCGATTTGAATCGATTTCTACAGGTACCCGTGATATGAAACGTAAATGGACGCTAAATACCACCGTAAGTCGCCAAATTGGGCGATTTCATGACCGTTTTTGGTCATTTAGTACGGTCCCTTGGTATTTTGTCACTACGATTTACTTAGAAAAGAACACACACATAAATTTCGACATAATGCCTTCCTGTTCGGCCACCTATATGACATGAGAAGATGAAAATTCCCAATGTTCGGCAATTTTCGATCGATCCACTATTCTGCTAGGCCTACGTGACTTTACTTTAGCAAAATTCAAAGTTCCACATGGAACCGGATAATTGTCTGCATGTAGTGTCAATAAAAGAGTGCCCAGCGTTGTCGTGATCCTTTCGACGGATACACAATCAGCGATGAGACGGATTAGCGATCGTAGCGACCAAGTGCGATACGGTAGGTATACGGTAAACATCAATGCACTTTAGATTCGCTGAGAGACCAGTATAGGTCCCTGAAAGATCAGCAGCGATTGATGTCAATGAGCGCATGGGAGAGTCACCATTTAAAAAGGACACGTAACATAAAAAGATCTCTCACCGACCATTCAGACTACCAGACTCATCGGCCGCGATAACCCGAGTCATTTCGTTTCTCGGACCAACGACGGGACGATGAAAACCGGCACATCAATAACAGCAATTAAAATAGAAGTTCACGATAAAAGTTAGTATTTCAAAAGATCCGAAAACTGTTCACGAGAGTGTTCTCGTGCTTAGTGGTTCCACTTTTTGCTTCTCAACCCTTTTTTCGATCACATACTACTGTAAATGAACACTTGATGGAACTTCACGACATTGCAGCACATCGAAAATGCTCAAAAAACATCAATGACGAAAACCATTGTGATTTTTGGACAAAAGTGACGACATGGGAGCGGTCCTAATCAGAAAATGCCAAGCCTGCTCCACTAGTAGCGAAAGAACTACCTTCGGTGAACATCGAATGTATTCTCTCAGAAAATTCACATTGACATCTATGGAACACTCAACTAACATCGCTACGGAACGCTGTTGTAAATTGCCCATGATGGTGAGAATCTCTGGTGATTCAACGCTTCTTCTACGACTTTTTCAAGCGTAACATTAACTTTCAGGACCATGACGACGTAAAAAAATGGGAGAAAACATGAAAACGAATTGGAACGTTAGGTGTGTCCATCCGAGTAAGCCGCCATCGTCGCTCGTCGTTAGTCGTCCGTCAATGTCTTTCGTCTTAGTTCATAGCATTTGATAACCAGATTCAAACACCACGTCGTCACGGGCAGCATTTAACCCGCAGACCAGTAGAATAACCTAGCCGTCAATCAGCGTGACCATTAGGAGTTATGCTACAAGTTCCAAGAAAATAACCGAGTTATTTTTCGTTTCGGACCACACCGTGATCCCAGGAAATCAGCAATCGCATCAACAAAAATAATTGTCGCACGACTACTTTTTAAACCCACTTTTTTTTCTCGGACGACCGCTCTGTCATACTTGAACTCGGATTTTCTATACTTAGGTATGTATGTTCGAAGATTTTCAAGGAACGCAGACAACAATTACATCATGAAAAATATGTGCAATTCCCTAATTCGTATGCTGTCAAAGAAAAAAGAAAGTCGCATCAAAAATCTGGCTAGTCCTGATCAGTTAAGTGGCTAGCAGGACTTTTTTCGAGAAAAACCCTACACGACTCATTCATTGCGTTAAAAATGATGATTAAATTAGCTGACTTGTTTTCTGGTGTTTGATTCAGCGGTGTCCATACTTGCGGATGAAGTACCTGGTGAATCGGCAGTATACGAAAGCGATGAGAACGATGAGCGTCGAGATCCCTCTGAAAAAAACAAAAAATTTTTCTTTGAATCATCTCACTACGATGGTCGTCATTCCACACAGAGTACAACGATGAATCAACTAGTATTAATCGACAGTGATGACATAGGAGATGCTTTGCGATGTGGAATGGAACACAGTGGGGTCCCCAGCTTGTGGAGAATTCGTAGGTTCTATTCGGCTATCTCACTGAAAAAAGGGAGTCAACAATAACCATGTCTTAAGGCACCTCGTTGGCTTATGCAGTCCAAGAATGAGAAAGTAAACGAAGCGATACACAAGTGCTGAAGAATGAACAACGAACATAAGCGCCACTTTAGCCGCTATATGATCAAGAATTACCTGGGTAATATCAATGTGAACACAAAGAAAAAAATGCTACGAAACATAAAAGAATGCCATTTACATCAGATCTGCAGAAAGCTATGTGCTTCGTTAAGAACAGCACAGAGATCAATCACTGGATCACACTACTGACCGCAATCGATGTTGATCGGTGGCAATGATGAAGATTGTTCGTAACAAGAGACGTTCCGGAGTGTTCCCGGCATCGTCTCCGTGTGTGCCCGTGTGTGCATGTGTGCCCGTCGGCCCGACGAACGCTAGAGTGGGCGGAGCGTGCGGCTGTCGTCGTCTCCACTTGTACTATAAACAAGTTGCGATGAACCCAAAAACTTAGCCGATCCAAGAACGATGGGCGGAGGCTGAACGCTGACGTCGACCTTCGACGAAGTGGTTGGTGTTCCGCAGACAAGAGTAGCCGCCAATGAAAGAGTAAATCGGAACAGTTCAACAATACCAGGCTGAACAATGCAGTCACTGGGACTGAGCTGAAAGACCACTGTTGTGCTGCAATAACAAGCCGGATTATGCAATAGCTATGGCTGAGCTGAAGGATTACAAATCTGTTGCAATAACAAGCAGGATAATGTTGCCGAACAGCATCTCTAGTCGGGTATGACGTTCCACAGATGTCAGCGATAGTGGGACAACGGAAAAAGTTGGCTTCGATTCAAAAGAACAAAAAACATTGGAATCATATATATGCAATGAATACGATGACGAATGTCAGTTGTCGAAGATCATAGCAATGAAAGCAATGGCAGCGGAACTTTTGTCTCTAGGAATATGTAAACTTTCTAGACGATAACGCTGAATCGCATAGAAAGTCACAGATTTCTCTTGTGAGGGATAAAATGAATCCAAAGTGTGAGTACTTTAGTGAATCCTTTAAAGCGGTTAACACACAGCAAAAAGGCGCTTGAAATCATTCTCATGAGAAAGCTTGAACTAAGTGCCATATTTTCAGAATATGTGACGTTATGAAGGAATGTTGAAATCAGCTACAGCATTCTAAAATTGCTGGATTCATTGCTATCGGAGAGATTTCAGAGAGGAGGGATCTTTTCCATGAACCCAGTCCAAGTAACGTTCATATGGTTTGAAAACGTCACTAATAGAAATTACTAACGGATGAACGATTAGAAAATCTATACTCGTAAAAAGTAAGCGCACAGAGCAAAACTAGTAAGTGCATAGAGGGAGATTAAATGGTTAGCAGTTTCCGATGAATTTGATAAAGTGCACTATTTAAATGAAACACACACGTTCTCGATGTCGATTAAGTTTCTAATGTCCTTTTATCCATCAAAAAAAAGCTCTAGGAACTGGTGTGTCGCCTTGGTATCCCGAACGCCCCATATTAAAAATATACGTTGTTCGTTTTAAGAATGCCTCGTTTACTCATTCACAGAAGTATGTATGTGTATAAGCAAACCACATTTGTAGATATATACCTATCTATGCACAACACACACATACATGCGTACATATATACACAACCCGCATATGGACACACATATGTCGATACACACCGATACACACCGGCACATTCGCACATACACACATTCGCGAAACTCAGTGAGCATGTCAACGACATAGGAAGACATTGAAGTGCAGAAATAGACACTAAAGTACATACACGTGCAGTTGTATATGCATACATTCATACTCATACTTTGCCAGCAAAACAGTGTAAGTAGACGAGACACACATACACATAAACATAAAGACAGACAGACATACACACACACACGTGTATACGTACATTTATATGCACCAACGCACATGCAGATGCAGAGATACACATAAACACACGTACACACACATGCATACACATAGACACACACCCGCGTTCACGAGCGCACGTACGCACACATACCAGGCATACAGTTCATGTCAAGGGTTAGCAATTCAGTTTCCTCCCATCACATGTTGGCTGAAGACACTGAAAAACCATCGATGATGTTATTTAGCCTAAAATATTTTCATACGAGCAAACGTGCAAGGTTTGTTTTTCCTTTTGCTATCGACTAATTTCAGCGAACGGCACCGATGCACTATCTTTTCGGGTTTTTTGCAAGGTTTCTGCCCTTAAGTGTAGTGATTTAGTTCGTACGTGGTAGTGTTCAACGTGCTACACTACACAAGATGAACCATCGATCATCAACTGTAGAAGAAAAAATGGCTTCAGTAAATGTATGGAGAAATATTTTAAGAAAAGTCACGTCCTTGGAATTGTTCAGCAATAACACAGTAATAGAAGGACAAGTTCAGAAGTGGACCATGCTTGTCGAAGAAAGCTTAATGTGACGGTATAACAAGTTATAAGACATACTATTATATTTTTATTGATAGATCAATAGATTAGTAAAATTTCATGGGAAAAAAATTCGATGGTGAGATCGTGGTTCAACGAACGAACAGATAAACGAACGAGCGAGCGAGCGAACAAACGAACAAACGAGAAACGAAGTTATTCTGTCTGGAAACACGCTTTCGATAAAATATTTTCCATCATGTTTGAAATTAAGTAACATTCATGAAATATTCGTTTAGATGAAAAACATTAACTGAATAGAATGTCGTAGTTGATTAAAGACAGATGAAGAAATGTCAGGAAAATCTGTCTTTACGGCTTTTCTTTTCATACACACGAAAATACAGGCTCTTTTTATTAACTGTATGATAAGTAAATCAACCACAACGTTGTTGAGATAATCGCAAAATTTGTACCCCAGGTCAGATCGAACCACGACTTAGCTTTACGAAGGCTCTCGTATTGCACACTGCGTCACGGAGGCCGTTGCACTGTGTTTCTCTCAGCTAGTTTTCTGTATGATCAGTATATTAAAACCAATTTTCATTAAGCTTCGGTACAAATAATCAATATCTTTTTCATTGGAAAAGATATTTAACAAATGTTCTATGGAATAAATAGTGTAAACGAATTCAAGCCCACATAACAAACTGTTGAGGACGAGCACTAACCCGATATGTGTATGTCGCATGATAAGAACACAGACTAAATGAACTTCGAATTTGAACCACCCCGTGAATAACACTGTTGATAAACTGCACAGCATATGCCCCTGTACGACCCCAACTGACCAATTCCTACGGAAAGAAGAAGTCCACTCACCGATCCGCTAACAAAGTAAAGTTTAAAAGTACGCGCAAAAATGTAAACTCTACCCCCAGTGGATCTGCGAGCTTATTTTTGCTCTTTCAAAAGATCAAAAATGAATCGCTAGCTCCACGATTTGATTTATGCACTAGTTTATCGCGATATTAATAAAAGCTACCGTATCCAGTGTAAGGGCAGCGTAGCTGCTACACATCGCGCCGAGATCGACGCGCATTGCGACGATTGCGCAGCTGTCGGTGGTGATTTTAGTGCGATGTTTTCCGTTCTTCAGTTTGTCACT